GAGTCAGTACAACTGGCCCAGGAGAGGGTAGGCTTCAGAGCTATTGTATATAGTGTTGCTATAAGTCACAGGCAACACAACTGCACATAGCAACAACAATAAACTATATCATACAGAGAAAGAAACAGGATTTCCATAAAGTATCTTTATAAATACATAGTACATGAAATGAGAACTAAGAATATTTACTAATAATTGTGTCAACATCACAAACATTTTTTTGACATTCCTTTTTTTAAATTTTTATTGTATTTTTTAAAATTTAGTTTGTTTATTTTTCATTTCAATGAACATCTACAGAGATTTTGGAATTCCATTCATTCATTGTTGCACCCTTCTCCCTGCACCCCCACCTCCTGTTTGCTCCTCTCCTTGAAAAGCAAAAGAAAAACTCCCTCATTGGTACACAATCCCCCCGTACCTCCCCAAACCCCAAACATTTTTAACACATGCAACATCAATTCCTAACATAAGATCTAACTTAACTGGGAATTCAGATGTGAGTTTGTTTTAAAACAAAGGTCAAACCAGTTGGGTAAACTCAGATTCATGGTAATCCCATGTGTTTAAGAGCAGCGTTCCACTCCACAAGGATTTCAAGCTGTTGTGACCTTCTGGGAGTAGATTGCCAAGCTTTTCCCGAGATGTATCAGTTAGAAGGGCTCTAAGTGCTAATCTTGGTTAAGGGCTCAGTTAGCAGTTTTTTCCTTAACCATTTGAATTACCTAAAATCTCCTAGGATTGCTCCTGTGAGATTTACTATCTCAGAAAATGCTTTGGAGGGTCAGCTGTGAGTTATTTCTAACTCCATGGTAAATAACAACAATAACAGGAGCCCTGGTGGGACCGTGGTTAAGCACTGTTTGGCTGCTAGTCAAAAGCTTTGTGATTCTAACCCATCAACCACTCAGCATGAGAATTAGAGGCATCTACTTCCATAAATATTTATAGACTTGGAAACCCAACAGGTCCATCTACATACAAAAGCATATTTCCTAACTGAACAAAAAATCTGAACTCGAATGTGAATACAAATAAATCCTTTAGAAAACACACAAGAAACCTTCCATATACTTAAGAGAAATATATACTATGCAAGGCATAGAAAAGAATTTGAGTTCTTGAAGCAGGGCAATTTTTACTTAAAATTGTCTTTCCAGGCTTGCTTTAACCCCTTTCTTTTTTCTCCTCTCTTTGCCCTCTCAAGGTTCACGTGCTTTCCATGACATTTTAAACTCTGTATGAATAGAAAGCTGGGGAATTCTTTCTTCCTTTGACTTATGACCAAAAATACCACGCTCTTCATGTTTCTGGCATGGACGTGTTGTAAATTGAGCGTTGGTTATATCATGGCTCATAAAGTCACTTTTCCACAAAACCACTATGGGAGAAGGATTAGTAACTATACTGCTCTCCACTGTCTGTGCTGTATGTGCCTGTTGTTTTTTGTTGTTATTATGTGCCATCAAGTTGCCTTGTGACTCATAGTGACTCTATGTACAACAGCCCTAAACCCTGCCCTATCCTGTGCCAATCTTATTGTCTCTGATACACCTACTCCCATTACCAAAGTCACTGAATCAATCCATCTCATCAAGGGTCTTCCTCACTTGCACCGTCCCTCCACCCTCCCAAGTGTGACTTTCCTCTCCAGGGACTATGGTGAAAGAGAATTTATATTCTAGAAAATCAATAGTAAAAATGACACATACATGTGAGTTATGTGCTGTTTAAACCCACAACACATAATCACCATCATATGAAATATACATATATAATATGATAATCTCAGAGGGGGAATCTCATTTGGAGAACATGCTCCTCTACCTTGAATTTCATTTTAATTTTCAGTTAGATTTTCAAAGTCTTCAGGTTACCCCAAATTTTAGCATACCAAATTTCTCTTGGCCTTTCTTAATACTTAATAAGTTCATAATGATTTCATAAAGCAACTATAAAAAGCTGAGTAATGTGAGCAACCCTTTCCAATTTCATTTAAAGTCCTGCGAATGCCTAGCAAGGGTTAGATGACATCATTACTCAAATTTTATTCTTAAGCAATTTAGGATTTTAAAAAAACCCAAAAGCATGCTATAAAGAGAGGACACTAAAATACTCTTAGGTTGGCTTATGAATGTATTTTTGGATGTCATTTTAGTGACAAATCAAGTAATGCCAGATGGCTATTAGATATTACTTTTTTCCTTCTCTGGTTCAAATGTGATGCCTGCACCACTACCAGTCTGGACGTATTCCACAGTCTCAGCCAGCACTAGAAAGCCAACCCCTGAGTAGTCAACCCAAGCCAGTACATCTCTTATAGGCAACATTTGTATAAATATACCTAACTTGATCCACACAAGCACGACACACAATCAAACTGAGAAGATAAGACCATGTATTTTTATCCATCAATTCTTGAGTGTACACGACCTTATAGAATAAGAGTGGACTGCTGGCATCAAGTTCTCAGCCATTCTTAACTAAAATTATCTTGGCAATTCTACAAGTCCCTCCATTTTCATTTTCTAAATATTCTGCCTCAGTAGTGAGAAAGTATCCTGAGGAGAGCAGTAACAAATTTGCTTTGTACCACCATTGAATCAGATCGACTATATCTGTGGAAGGAACCGCTAGAGAAGCTCAATATCAGCTGTGAAAACTAGGCCGGGGGCAGATTGTGGAACAGACCACCAATTACTCATATGCAAGTTCAAGCTGAAGCTGAGGAAAATTAAACCAAATCCACAGGAGCCAAAATATGACTTTG